ATTTAAACACCCATATTCTTGATCAGCTCGTCGAGCTCTATCTAACCATATATAAAGAAAAGAAAAAAAAATTTTGCTGCAATTTTGCATTTCCGCTACCTTACATCAGCGAGCATCGTAATTGATAGAAGAATGACCTGAACGTTTTCGGGCATCATAGTAAAGACGTCATAAATTTGCTCGTTGAAACCACGAGATAAAAGCTCATCAGCTTTATCGAATATGAACATTTTGATATTTTCACTACCTACGAAGTGAAAGAGGATAAGAATACGACAGATAAAAGAAATAAATCACGTACGAAGTGCTGATCTTTTCAACATATCATATATCCGACCAGATATACTAACAACAACTTGGACATTTGCTTCAAGACGTTTCATATCCTCACGAACATTCACACCACCAGTACAACCATAACATGTCACATTTATATATATTCCCCTAGTGCTAATACTACTCTATGAATCTAAATTACAAACAGAATCAAGAAGTTGATGAGAAACAAAGATTACCTGTCAGAAAAAAACTATACCCGTTGAGCCAGTTCACGCGTTGGTACTAAAATTAACGCTTGATAGTCTTTGCAGTCCACGTCGAGTTGTTGTAAAACTGCAAGGATGAATGTTTTCGTTTTGCCTGTACCTGATTGTGCTTGTACAATCACATCATAATCTTTAAGAAGAATGAAAATTCATTGAAGAAATTTCAGTTTTAGAGAAATGACAGAAAACGAACCCGAAATACACGGTTTAAGAGCACTTTGTTGAACAACCGAAGCACGTTCGAGACCATAGCCGTAGATAACACGTAAAAGTGATTCTCGTAACTTCACCTGATCGAAGTGCTCTACCACTTCTGTCAAGCGACCTAGGGTAGCTTCATCTCGGGGCTAAGATGGTTTGATCTTGAGGGTGTGGGTGGGTGTTGGTGTGAGTGTGAATTAAACAAGCAAAACAAACCCACACTCACACCCACACCCACACCCGCTTATGGATGTTCGGAGTAATCCATCACATAGAATTCCCTGGATAAGTGAAATGAAAACAGATAATCCATTCTTGGATTCATTTTAGCTTTCTCTTTCGATTTAAAAATGTCTATTTTCAAACTCACCCTCACCCTTAAAAGCCGAAAGGTAACCGAATACTTGATACAAAATCTCAGTGTCATCTTTTACCTGTTCTATTTTGCACTATTTTTTAAGCTAATGAAATAATATGTCATCAACGAAAACGATGGGTTTGGTAGAGCTCAAAATTCTCTGTTGAATGGGCCTAGAACCAATTACTTAGACCGCTGAGAAGTGCCTCAGAAATACAGGACAAAGGTTCTCATTTATTTTGGGCCACCCGTTATATGTTAAAAGTGCATAGTTATTAATCTGTATTTTTGACATTATTATCGAAAAACCTATAAAGTAGGGTACATAGAACTCACTCTTAGTGTCTCTGTAAATATTCTCTCTTCTACAGTGCTTTCAGTTACAATGGCAGTGGCTATAGGAGTAGAAACTGTATTTTCACACACTAAATTTAAATGTGTCATGCTTATGTGTCGTGAATTATTGTGTCGTGCTTAGAATGTGTCGTATACGAATTTGTCGCGTTCTGTCTGCTGACTATTTGTTCACCGCTTTTATTATGCATACATAGCGATATATAAGCAACGTGGTTGAACCGTACGAAAAATAAATTTTCAAAATATTCTTATTTTCTAGATTATTTCTCGATCATTTTTTTTATCGAGAAAATGCCAATCTCGATCCATGATTGAGAGAGGACTACCCTGAAGCGATCTGATGCAAATCAGACTAACTCGAGATGGGAAAGATCCCCGGATCTGACCTGTTTGAGTTCTCAGAATTGGAATAATTACAGGGAATTAAATTGAAAAAACATCGAAATATAGCTTTCCAAGAGAACCAATAGAAAATGTGTCGCATGTGTCGTAGTCTTGCTGGAAAAAATGTGTCGCACTTTAATGTGTCGCAAATCACGACACATGCGACACATTTTAATTTACTGTGGCACCAAGTGATAAATACAACAAAAAGTAAGAGAAAATAAAAAATGTGTTTTCCTCGACGTTTAATAAATAGTTATGCTTGATTTCAAAACTTTTCAACTTTTCGAAGAACCCAGGATCAAGAATAATGTTAGCTATTGTGAAAAAATAAATAATGTTTGATTTGGATGTTCGTTTTTTCTTAAAATGATTACATTACATAAAAGTAATGAAGATTCCTTCAACATTTATATCGATCAACAATTATTTTTTATTGTATTCTTTCAAACTTTTGTATACGAAGATTATATGTATCTGTAACATATAAATTCATTTCTGAATCAAATGCCACATCGTGTGGATAATATAATTCATTACTGCCATTACCAATTTGACCCGTTCCTGCAATTGTTATACCATATACAGAATTTGGACAAAACATTTGTATTCTGTGATTCATACAATCGGTGATATATAAATTCCCATATTTATCAAGAGTTAGGCCTTCAGGACCCATCAATTGCGCTGGACTATTACCAGGTCTGCCAGGAATTCCTGCATATATATTACGATTTCCATAAGTATCCATTTCCCATTGGGTTACGGAATGGGATTCTTCATTTGATATATATAAGATGTTATTTGGTTCATCTAAATATAAACCAGTCGGAGCATTTAATTGATATGGATTGAGACCTGCACCATTACCACCCTAGAAAAACAATGAAGAATTTATCATTTAAAATATAAAAATATGTAAAATGATTGTTATATCGGTTATTTCCAATCTGTTTAGATTCACCCAAATATTAAGAAAAAATTGCGATCTAAATAGAAACAACACACAAACTGATTGAAAGGAGATCTCAGATCAAATAAGATTGCTATCAAGTATCAAAAAGTATATTAATTCTATTAAATTTTTCGTGTTTTACTTAACTACTGCAGCGATTCTTCATCAGTTAGAGTGAGTCAAAAATCATTCGACCACCTATGTTCTGTTCTTTTGTTGTTTTTCTGAAAGTGTGAAAAGAAAGATATGATAGGTCTCGATAGAATTTCTGAATGGATATTGTCAATAATCTAGACATACAAACGGCGCCTTTTCATTTTCTTGGATCCTTTTTGTGGTGAAAATAGAAAACAAGGTAGATAAATAAATTGACCTCTATCTCTCTATAAGCAAATTATTAGGCATTTTTCAGTCGGCATAGTTCAGATTACGCAAACGTTAGATGTGATTCTTTTTTGCCACCTAATTAGATCACTGTTGTATGTTTTACCACCTTGTATTATAACTCTTTTAAATGAATACTGTATCATTTTGAAGCACAAATATAGTATAGGATCTGGTTCAACGAAAATAAAACCAATAACTTACTGCTATAATTGTACCAGCAGACGTTTTTGGATCATATGTTGATGCCCATCTTGTTATACGTTCATTATCCAAATCGGCAACTATTATATTTTTTTTTGAATCAAGTAACACTTTATATGGACGATTAAATTCATTTAATGCTGAACCATCACTGCCGTTCCCAGCCACTGTTTTTCCGTGTTTGGAATCTTTTTCCCAATACTGAATCCGCTGATTCATCATATCAGCAACAAAGAGATTTTCGTTTTCATCTGCGAAAACATGTCCCGGACTATATAGTTTGTTTGGTGTTGAACCACCGGCACCATTTACTCACTTATTACATGGACAAGATGTCCTACATAATATGGGTCCTGTACGAAGCCTGAAGGTGTGTGAAATAGAGAATGTAGAAAAATCTATTCAGCATTGATACCTACTCTATATAGTTGTACTACATAATTGTTAAAGAGAGTATCGAAGTGTTTAAATTCAAAAAAAAAAAAAGAACACGAATAATGATGGATTGAAGATTTTTCTTCGTTCAGTACAACCTGTATTATTGACTTTCTGGATTTTATTTCGGCTCATTTCAATCACAATGTAAAGTATCGGGTGTCCCAGGAATAATGAGCCTCCCAGTATTTTTAAGATTTCCTGTCTATTATCACTGTAAGTAAAGCTGTCTTAATTATCAAAAGAAAGCGCTTAAAATTCTCTACAAAACCA